CCCTAAACCATAATTTAAACCCTAAACCCTATACCCTAAACCCTAATTTAAACCCTAAACCCTGAACCTGTGAAAAAACCGTCAGGTCAGGGGGCTGCTGTCCTAAACGAGTTTCCTACGGGTTCCCTGTCCAGCTCCTGTAGAAGCTCCTTTAAGCGTTCCCCTAAGGATTGCGTAAGGATTCTATAGGGTATCAGGGTTTGGGGTTTAGGGTTTAGGGTTTAGGGTATCTCCAGGATGGAATCGGAGTCTTTGGCGAGACGCCTGAATAAATGTACGCGTTGTCCTGTGGGTTCCAAAGGATGGCTCTACTATTTATAGTGTACTTATGCTTGATACCCTAAACCCTAAACCCTAAACCCCTAAACCCCTAAACCCCTAAACCCTAAACCCTAAACCCTAAACCCTCCATGTTCTTGAACGTATGCCGTAGAAGGTGTTTTAGTATGCTAGAAGTATGAGACCCCAAAAGCCCTTCTGCACTTCGGCATGCTGCAGCGAAGACCCACACGCAGGTTGTCACTTCACTGCAAGACGACACTGGGTAAACCGTGTAAACTCTATGTAAGCCCCTAAGCCCCTGAACCCCCAAAACGCTAAAGCCTCAACCCCTAAACCCCTCAAGCCTCTACCCCAAACCCCTAAACCCCAAAACCCCAAAACCCTAAACCCTAAACCCATAAACCCCTAAACCCTCAACCCTCAAACCTCAACCCTCAAACCTCTAACCCCAGAACTCGGATATCTCTCCAATTCTTGAAAGAACCCTCAAAAAGGAAGCTTCTGAGGCACCTGAAGTCTTAAAAAGAACCCCTGGAGGAACCTTCAAAGAGCTCCTTCCTGGGATTTAGGGTTTAGGGTTTAGGGTCCGAAACCCTAAACCCCAAACCCGTTCCTTGAAGCTGTCCTCTTTAAGGCTTTAGGGGTCCTCTTTGCGGGTCCTCTTTAAAGGGTTCCGAATAAGGGTGCATTTAAAGTTAGAGAATTTAAAGAAGCCCTAGAAGCAGAGGCCTAAGGAGTGAAACACACAGGCCTGAATACTTAGAAATTAATAGAGGGGCCTGAAAAATAGAAAGGAACAGGCTTGATTTTTATTTAGGCTTCTACATTAGACAGGGATGTTTGAGGCCCAGGCTTTATGGTTTAGGGCTTTAGGGTGTAGGCTTTGGGGTAGCAGCATTACTAGTCAGTCCAGGGCTTTAGGCTAGCTCTACATCATAACAGATGAACGAGTCCTCAAGACCAGAAAAAAGTCCAAAAACCCTAATCCCTAAACCCAAAACCCCTAAATCCCTAAACCCTAAGTCAACGGCTCTTCTAGTGTCCCGCCCTTCGGATTTCGGGCTTCGGGTTTAGGAGTGTAGGGTTTAGGTTTAGGGTTTAGGGTTTAGAGTTTAGGGTTCAGGGTTCCGGGTTGAGAGTTTAGGAAACTGGGTTCAGGGTTTAGAGTTTAGGGTTCTGGGTTCAGGGTTTAGAGTTTAAGGTTTTCACTGCCATATCTGCAGTTCTCTAAATCAGGGTCCCTTTTTAGGGACCCAATATAGTACGGCACCCTTATAAAAGGAACCTAAAACGGACCCTAATTTAGAGAACTACCCATCTGTGCAGGAGAGCGGCGGAGGAGGACCAAGAGGGTATCTTGGAGAAAAGCGAAGAAGAAGTCCTCGCAAGGTTCAAAGTTGGGAGGCTATGTTGTTGAGCTGTTCTCAGAATCCGCATCCCGGCGTGGCGTTCAGGGAAGGCTGTTCTAGAGTCAATGTCTAACGTCGTGTGGCTTGAATACCAAGGCATACGTGGGGATGAAGTTGCACCGCCTCCCCCAAACCCTCTACCCATCTAAACCCTCCCTGAACTCTACATGATCCTAAAACCCATCTTAACCCTCCCTAAACCATGTAAACCCTAAACCCATCTAAAGCATCACCGTCCTGGAGCCTAGTCTTTCATGTGCTGATTAGCCAAGGTTCCGGGATCCTGGATCTCTCTGAACCCTGAACCCCTGCAACCGATAATAGCCTCACAGCTTCCCTATAACGGGTAGTGTAGGGCTATTAGCGTTTCAGGGGTTACGGTTGAACGTGATTCTTCAAGCAGAGGCTGAGAGGGTGGAACCCGAGACACTTGATGATCTGCTCCACATGATATCGGGGCCTAAACAACCAGGGCATAGTTTGGTCGAAAGGGGTTTAGTCTAAACTCTCTGAACATTTTTTTGAAATATGGCAGGTTATTGTTAGTGTTGCTGCTGACCCTATCCTTTCTATGTCTTGTGGGTATTACTACTAACGCCCTCTTTCTTCTGTGTATATAGAGATCTAACACCCCTTGGGAGTGGTGTAAATTTTCAAGGCCAAATAGGCACTAGAGAAATCCTCCTACACCGGCAGAGGCGAAGTGATTTCAGATCGCATCATGTAGTAGGTGGTTTTGCTCCCACACTATAGGGTGCCGCATTCAGAATCGAAACATACAGGGCTTCACAAAAGGACCAAGCTTTTGACAGCTAGCCGTATAGAAGCGCATTGTTGACTGCTGCACACCTGCTACATCAAACGAAAGAAGCACAGGAATGCTCTTCCAAATGCCACAAAAGGAATCCTTGGCCGACTTCGGTTTAAGGTTTAGGGTTCAGGGTTTAGGGTTTAGGGTTTAGGGTTTAGGGTTTAGGGTGTAGGGTTAAGGGCTTTGGGTTTAGGGTCCTTGGCTGACTTCTGAACCCCTCCAACAAGTTAAGCTTGTAGTCTCCTTAATACAGTTCATATAGAAACCCAAAAAGTTAAAGTCCTAAGAGCCAACCAGACGAACACCAAGAATCTTTGACCTTGACCCTGAGGCACAAAAGAAGCTCTGACCACTACATGGTATTAAAACCCTGTGACGAAGGTTCTCTTGCCCTAAACCCCGCTAGCCGAAGCCCAAATGCCCTAAGGAGTCAACACCAGACTTTACGATGTAGATCCTAATCCCTAAAGCCGAACTTTCCCCTACACCCAATAAAACCCTGAGGGTCCACGTTCGCATATAGCATATACATTGCATTGGCCCCGAAGTACCTATATAGAGACTACTTTAAAGCCAAATGTATATACTATTTGGGCACATGGACCCTTAGGGAAACCTAACTTGGCAACCTGTAGTTTACACAAGGCCCCAGGCAAAGCCCCTACCCAGAACTCCTAGAAGCTGATTTGCAGAGTCCTCTTCCCACGTGCTGGCGACGAGGTCGAACGCAGGACGTGTCAATAGAAGCAGCAACAGCCAGTACCACCTGGCACAGGAAGTTGGGTTTGGGGCCTCAGGGTTCTAGAGATTACAGAGATTACCCTATTAGGGTTTAGGGTTTAGGGTTTAGGGTTTAGGGTTTAGGGTTTAGGGTTTAGGGTTTAGGGTTTAGGGTTTAGGGTTCAGGGTTTATGTCTTAAGAACATATAGAACCAACCCTTCAATTCCAGATTTCTCAACTGTCAGGTAGCAATCCAAACCCTACCCGGCCCTGCCTAGACCCCCGACTACGTACCCAAGATGCCCACTTGGTGCCGCGGCTTAACCGCACCTGCATGCCCGGACAGGGTCCCGAAACCCTAAGCCGTAAACTGTAGTCCGAAACAAGTGTCCCGCAGAACTCTTCCTTGGTGGCTGCATCTGCCCTAAACCCCTGAAGCCCTATACCCTAAACCCTAAACACTTACAGAAGCCCCTATAGAACCCTTTAAGGAACCCTTTAAAGGAACCCTAAAACACTATTCCAAGTACTGAGAAACCTCCAAGCCATCAACTCTCTTCCTCAGCAACCAGGCCCAACAAAAAGTTCAAACTTTTTAGGATAGACCTAATATATATATATATATATATAAGGCCAGAGAGTTTAAAGTCCTCCCATTGGCTATC